TTCATGAACTCGGTGCAGCGACAACTGCAGAGCCCGGATCAGACCCACATCGTTGCTACAAGAAAACGCGCATCGGTTAACAATTACCGCCTGCACCTTGAACTTCTCACGAACGCTGTAGATCGAAACATTGATGCCTTACGATGGTTTCCACGCCCAAGCCTGTTACAAGTGGTCAACACAAAAGCAGCGATAGCACCTGAAAGACTTCGACGGTTCAGTGATGGAGCACGTTGTGTTATCGTGGCCTTCAGGAACGAGAGGAACATTGCAGAAAAGGTTACTACGAGTGTGTCTCGTTGGCAAAAAGTGCCTTTCTATGATGGGGTCTTGCATGAGTTTCAGCGTACGCGTCAAAGATACAAAAGCTGATGTGACTTCTGAGGAACTGCTTTAAGCGGCCTCGGCCTAATGCTCCTCGGAGAGAGATTAAATCTTTTCACGTGCTTATCATGCTCACCCACAGCATGCTGCTCTGAGAACCGGAGGAAGGTAGATGAAGCATAGTCTTCACTCCAGCACCTCTAATTACGCAACACCTCTGTCAGTATCACAGAACTAAAAGCAGTGGGATGGCCACCTAATTAAAGTAGCGCACAATTTTTAAGGTGCTTTGACAAAAACAGTGCAGCTGCTACAGCAGAGCGTGCAGTTGAAGCTGAGAAGTTCGAGGAACTAATCTGAAAGTCTCTCAGCGACGCAGTCGAGGCACTGCCAAGAAACATCGTGGTAGATCGTATCGGCCTGCAGGACTCATAGCCACCGTGAAGAGATCCTAGATTACTGATGAAAGATGCAACGCCTATCGTCGGTGGCTGTTAGGCTCATCTACGGCCCTACGTGGCTTGATTTGGAAAGCATTTCTCGGCTGACTGAAACGTTGGTATCTTTAAAGCTGCGAAACTGGCCTCCCGCTCCGTTGCTTGGAAGCAAAAGTTTGTTTACATTTGGTGATTTTCTGCCCTACCAGTCCACGTTCGGGGATAACTGGATCTGGCCCGTCAAGTCCGTGACAAAAACAAATATGACACTGATATTCGAAGAAGTACTCGTATTGCCACTAAACGATGCGCTTCTTTATTTCTAGTATAACTGCATTAAAACGGCCGTCAAAATAACTAAGGGCGCCATCAATTCCGCCTTGATTTACAGACGACGCCTCAAGGTAATGTAATACGAACGGTTCAGATTCTCGGCAGCTTTCCGACTGGCGAAGGTCTTCGATGGTCAGGGCCTTCACTGGCATGCCTACGGGCACCTTGCCAGCTCACTTATCACGACTGAATCTTCACATGCTGTTCTCGAACACAGATACAGTTGCCTGGCGAAAGCCAACGTAGGTAAGTACAGCGTTTTTCCGGTTATAAAAGCTCGGAATTTTGCCTGGATGGCCTGCCATGATGATGTAAGGTATCTTAAAAGCCTGTGCCGTTTAGTTAGAAACTCACTGACCTGAAAGCCTGCGACATGACGTGAACGCGAAGCGCCAGCTGGGAGTATTTATCAACAAACTGCAATAAACTCGCTCGAAATTCCTCAGCTTTTGCGAAATCATTCCGCTGCCCAGTAGGGTCCCATAAATATCTTTAAAAAATGTCAATTTTTCTAATGCGAAAAAGTGTCCTTTTCGTGCAAGGCATTTTATGTGGAACTGTCAGTATAACGAGCTAAGAAATGGAAATAACAATTTGCTTATGAATAATAAGCAATAGTAACGATCAATAAATTGAACTATCACAGCCTATTTATTTGTGAATTCCAGACCTTTATAATAACGGAGGCAAGTGATTTGTCTTTGAGAAGTTCTCCAACGCAAAACCTTTCAACCAGTTACAGCTGAACGTTGTGAATATGCGGCATACAGAAATATTCATTAGGTCACGAAACGCCTGCCATTTTCAATGCCATCTGTCAAGTACTCACGGGGCATGCAGCTTAAAGCATGAAAAATTTAGAACCATCTCGTTGAATGTATATTAGGCTGGAACCAATTGTTTTGGACCTAATTGGGGAGAGTGCAAAGTGCATGCAACAGCTCTCTCTTCATCGCTTTTTCTCGCCTTGGTTACGGGAGTTCTATCTTCAATATTTTCGTTTATTTGGTCTGTAGGACACAATGTTGATTGATATGTGCGGTTTCCCGACCCAAAATCACCATATGATCATCAGAGACGCCGTAGGCCGCACTCAAGAGGTAGCACACAACATGGTACGTATAGCTCTGAAGTACTTTTTTTTGCTGCAGGGTCCTCACTTCTGAGGCATATGGAGAATTCGTGACATGCATAAAAGTAAGCATTAAGGTTGAATTTTAGGGGATTCAACTAGAGATTCATTTAAAGGAACTAACAACTGATTTTGTAAACAGTTTTTGTTAGGTGTGGCGGAATGCTTACCCTTCGTAGTGTTCGTAGCTGGAGCAGTTATTCCCAAAAACACCTCGTCGTTCATTAAGCAGTATTTTTCGATAGGAAGGACTCTGAACACAGGTGTGGTTTTCTGTCTAACAACGCTGAGAATTGATGGTGATGCCAGTAGCCCGTCTAGCGACCTGTGCAAGCTGTCCTTGTTCTGATTTCGCAGGAGTTCCTGTATTTATGCTTAACCAGATTTCTTTTAAGCTTCACAACTATTTTTGAAGATAACAAGCCTCTACGATAAGACGATGATGCTTGATAAAGTTTCTCTCTGCCTGCGCCTGCGCCAAAGGTTGTTTTGCCTGTGTCGTAGATCTCTGGTCCCGTCGTCGTTACTCTCTGGACACAAAAGCCAAGTCGCCGAAAACACAACTGCTCTTATGCGCGGCTGTGGCGACTAGCAGCAGACGTCATTTGTGAGACAAACTGTGAATAAAAAATGAAGTCGCTCAAAAATTTTAGTGATTCGGAAACTGCGTGCACGGTTTCATGAGGGCGAAGAAAAGTTGTTGAATAGGCGCGGATGAGCATGGGAGGATTACGTCATGCGAAGGCAGCGCCACTGTAATGCCTTTTTTTCTGAAGCAGGCTTATATGTATATTTTTGTGAATATTTTTTACTATAAAGAAGTTAACAATATTTCTATACCAGCAGATAAGTTTGAACCACGTACATTAGCTTACATTCACATGACAGGGCTTATCGGATAATTGAAGTTTATGCTGCCAGGTGACGCCACAGGCCTATTCTCGAAATTAACAATGAAAAAATAAAAGTACAACTCCCCTTTTCACGAGAAAAACAGGGTTGGTTTGAGTCACTATGCGGGACAATATTTTCATTGGTGCAGTCTTTTATTTTATGTTCTCGGAAGTCATTGGTCCGTTTACTTGTTGCAAATAAATGCGAAGCATTTCTTAGCGAACTTCGGCGACTTTAACCATATCTATCTATCTATCTATCTATCTATCTATCTATCTATCTATCTATCTATCTATCTATCTATCTATCTTTCTATCTATCTATCTATCTATCTGTCTATCTCTCTATCCATCTATCTATCTATCTATCTATCCTCCTACGACTTTTGGCTCTCCTGGCCGTTTCGGTAACGGTATTGATACCAAACTTGGATTGACATAGCATGACTCTATGATAAGCATCACTTACTAGTCAAAACATGTAAATCATGATATGTATGTCATGAATGTCATGATGTATCTGTGATGGTTTTGCTGCTGTTATGGTGGTTTCATCGACATGACATATTGCAAAACTGGTATGATTTGAGATATCTGCATGGCATACATAATTGACAGGCCCTAACATAAAAATAATGACGTGCGTGTCATGTAAGTCATTAGTACATGCCGTGCTAATGGTGCATTGAAATGCACCGAATGGGTTATCAATGTACATACAAGCATTTAATCACGTGTTAACCAATTTCTTATAGCCCACGGCTTTTCTGCGTATAGGCTTTGAACACCTTTTCAGACCACGAGAGAGTATTACTTTAATGCATCTGTTGCAGTTTCCAGTTCATATTCGTGACAGAGCACATTGTGCGAATCGATCGTCCTTGCACGTTACATTCGTAATATTTTACGTGACTTAGCTGTTTGTTAAAATTTCTTTACAAACATGTGTTTGTCCAGATTCATGCAAAAGTTTACATCACAGTTCGGTTCTAATGAGACCAGCTGCCTATTGAATTGTTGATAAAATAATAACTCTAAGTTTACCTCTCAATACCCCACAGAAATTAAACGACGCTGAACAGAAGTGAGTTCTCGAATACGTTTAGTTTTTGTTATTTAAAAGATTCATTGTATTAATTTTTCTGGAGAAGTGGTGCAAGGGAAAATATGGCTGCAGGAAAAATACTTCTTCATTTTTTCAGCCAACCGCCGCTTCTCCTGTCTACGAAAAAACTTTAAAATATTTTATTGGCTGTGAAGTAGTCATTTTGTCCTCAAATAGACTTCGCCTAACTTCGTCGTTAAAAAAAAAGGAGCGATAGACAATGCTACGTTTAGTTTTAAACTGGTGTTCATTTGATATACAAATGACACAGAGTAAAGAGATTTCTATGGTACATTGATTATTTTCTAAATAAATAAACTTGGCTGCTTACAATGGCTAAATTCATGTGAAAGGCAGGCAGATACAAATCGGCACGGAGAGAAACGTTCCAGCACGTTACGCTGCAAGTATGCACCAGGCTTCCTTTCCTCTTTCTCTTTCTTCTGTGTGGTTGTCGTAACTAGCAACCCTTCAACTTGTCATCATGTACCAAGTAGCCCAAAAATGATGCTTCTAAACGGTTCGGGACCTGTACGGCCCCGTGGATTCCACTAGAGCAAGCAAGACACGCAGGTCTCTTTTCATGTCCAAGCATGACGTAGGAAACAGGCGTAGTAAGCAGGCAAATTTTTTATAGGTCCTGATCCTAGTTTTGCCTGTTTTTGAAAATATTCATATTTTGATAATAGTGCTGATAACACATTTCTAGTGTGGGCCAATACACCAGCGTAATTATTGACAATACAGTGAAATGAATGTACTGTTAATTTCTTCCCTGTAGCAGAAAAGATACTGGTTTTTATTCAGAGAATTCCAAGTGTACGCTCACTCAGAAACTGCATGGTTCGTTTTTTGTAGAAAGATAAATATCTTCTCAGTGCGTAACAACGATCCACCGCAAGGTTAATATGCATCGAGTGCATTATTGACTTCATTTAGAAGCAGTATCTTTGCACAGGTTCTTTCCGTTTCCCGGTACCTTGATTCCGCAAGCTTCCTCGTAACGGTGGATGCATTCCTGTGTACTTCTTTTAAGTCTTGGTTGCGCACCCACAGCAGACACTCTGAAATAATGCAGAGAACATGAAAAATTATTAACTTCTTATATATATATATATATATATATATATATATATATATATATATATATATATATATATATATATATATATATATATATATATATATATATATATATATATATATATATATATATATATAGCGGATTTCAGACAAACAGTTTGTTCGTTTATGCAGTTATATTGTCGAAACTCATGAGAACGTAAAGACGCCACATTTAAAGGACAACGTTCTTTCAACACCAGATGAAGAAGTCTTACACTTATATTTTTATTACAATAACGCGTCCTTGTTCTTTAGCCAAGTTTCTGCTTGCCTGTTTTTGTGTTGCCTGATAAAGAATGGCTCGCAGTAAAAAAAATTATCAGATCTCTTGCACAGCAGGAACGGCACGAAGTGGGAACATCACGAATGAGGAACGTTGATATGTCACGTTAAAAGCAGCACAACGTCACCAGGCGCATGTAAGTTATGCTGTACAAGACTGCCACCTCGTAATTATTATGGTTGCAACTCGCAGTTATGTTTTTCGTTCATTACCGGCCAGTGACCCCAAACTTGGTATATGTAAAGCTAGCAAAACGCTTGAGAACGCACTATGAGCGACACATATAGTCATGCTTTACGTGACAGGCATGCCATGATTATCACGTTTGCAAGTGTCATTTACCTTTGTGGTGCATCGCGTAACGGAATACCAAGTGTGGCATATGTGAAGCCAGTGAAACGGCTGCGAATGCATCATGAGCGTGGTATTTGGTCATATTTCTACAAGGTATATAGCTATGTTCCTCATGTTATCATTTTCATGTTTGCACGATTCATATACTTTAGTCATTCTTCGACGTCCCGTAACACAAAATTTTTGATATGAAGCTAGCGAAACGTCCACCAGCACATCATGAACGTGGTATGTAGTCATGTTCATACATGACACGCCTCTCATGATTATCATGTTTGCACCAGTCATATACCTTCGACATCCATTGACGTCACGTAACACGAAATTCGGTAAATGTGAAACCAGTGAAACGCCAAGAGTGCACAATGAGCCTAGCTTGTAGTCATGTTTTAAATAGCATGCATGTCATGATTATCATTTACAGACGTGTCATGTACCTTGGTTGTTCGTTTTCGTCACGTAATATCAAGTTCGCTATATGTTAAGCTAGCGAAACGGCTGCAAGCGCACTATGAGCGTAGCATAAAGGCATGTTTTACTTGGCACGCATAGTATGATTATCATGTTGGACGTATCATTTACCTTTGTCGTCCTTTCACGTCCCATTCGTAATATGTGAAGCTAGTGAAACGGCCATGAGAACATCATGAGTGTGGTATGTAGTCATGTTCTTACATGACATACAAGTCATGATTATCATGGTCGCACTAGTCATATATACATTCATCATTCATTCACGTGACGCAATACTACATATGGTAAATGTGAAGCTGTAGCTAAACGACCGTGAGCGCACAATAGGTTTGGCGTGTATTCATTACACACATCGCATAGATGCCATGATTTCCACGTTAGGACCTGTCAATTGTGTTTGCCATGCTGACATGTCATACCATATCAGTTGCCCCGCCGTGGTGGTCTAGTGGCTAAGGCACTCGGCTGCTGACCCGCAGGTCGCGAGATCAAATCCCGGCTGCAGTCGCTCCATTTTCGATGGACGCGAAAATGCGGTAGGCTCTTGTGCTTTGATTACGGTGCACAATAAAGAGCCCCAGGTGGTTGAAATTTTTAAAGCCCTCTACTACGGCGTGTCTCATATTCTAATGACGGTTTTGATTACTGAAACCACACATAATAATATTATACCATACTAGTTTTGCAATATGTTATACGAACAAAACCACCACAAGATCAGCAAGACCATCGCATGTAAATCATGAAATTCATGACAAACAGGTCATGAATTTCCTGTTACGACTTCATTCTTAGTGGACAGTGCATATAACTGAAACATTGTTTTCAATAAACTTTCAGTTGTTAATGTGCTCCCCACTATGGGTAAGTTCCAACTTGCCGCCTTTTGGTTCCACTACGACAAGTCACTTGTGCTCGTACTCCAGTAATGTTCTACGATACCAATTTTCGTATCGATCCCATTGTTGGACCGGCCAAGAGAGTCACCGTTTAAGGAAATCGACCACGCTTCAAACGCCGAGCGAATTGTACAACCCTTCAGGAGGAAAGGGTTACGCACTGCCGGGTTGCGTCACGAGGCGCGGAAACTTCGAGAAAGATCTCGCCCTTTTTCCCTTTTCGGCTGTTCTGTGCGCTGAAGAAAGGCGGGAAACTTCAAAAATTTCGCGCTCGCATATAAGCAAGTGGCGGAGGGAGACTAGCAGGCAATGAGTAAGTGTGTGATTTTGCCAGCGGGTGAAGGTCTGTCCTAAAGTTACAGGGCCTGAGTGGACGATGTTGTTGGGGGGAAGAATTTTTTTTATTGAAGTGTGGTCACTCGATCTGAAAGAATCAATGGATGATGCCGCGGAAGTTTTCAAGAGCGTTTCCTGGAAGAGGAACGTCACATGGATGGAACGACACATAGCGCTGGACTTTCTGTGAGTGCTTTCTAGCAGAGAAACATTAAAGCTTGGCTCCGAAAACTTTGTACTGAATATGTTTGTTGTAACCTATGCACGTTCTTGGGCAGATAATGCATGCGACTGCATTGTAGGTGGACTTGTGGTTTGTGCCCGTAGTTTTTTTTTAATCTATTGGGGTACCCTTTGAATTGTGTTGCCTTTGATAACTTCCTAGGGTGCATGTTTGCGTTTTGTTGTTCTGCCTTCTGTGGGAATATGTTTATCTTGTTATCAACTCTCGGCTCTGACTTATTATTTTGACCACAGCTCGCGCTTTCTGGGTGCTCCAAAGGGACCACTACAAATTGTTCGCACTTTCATTTTGCGTTTCAGGGGGCCTATACGTCAGCCCTTGGAATCAGCCAGGCGACTGCCTACCTATGGAATGGGAAAAGTGATAACATTGCTTGTTACGACCTTTGAAACTCTGGCATGGTGCTTCGGCTGCCGGGTGCAGTAGTATACGTACCAGTGGCATAGCGATATAGCAAAGATTTGGAAAAACCGTAGAAGGTAGACCGTCACGAGCTGCTCGCATCAGCAGTGCTGTTCGCCTAACCAGTTGTACAAGCAGCTGCCTCATTCCGGTGATATTATCACTGTTTGTTGGTGCACTGTGCGTGCTTAGACCACGTCGCTGCCTAGATTTGTTGCGGCAGACAAAGGGGACCTCAATCGTGTAGTAATTCACTCTCTCGAAGTGTCAAGCAACTGATACATTAACGCTGAGTAATGTTTCAGTGGCTCGAAATGCGCTGTAATGTCCGACAGTGGGCGGAAATCGTCTCGACTGCGTTAATTATTATGTCACGTGCTCTAAAGGCGCCGCTATTCCAAAAAAAACTGCATGACATATACCTATCTATAGGGGCCCTTTTGAGTGATGTATCACCTCATCTAAGATTCTATAGTTATTCAATATTGTGCTTATGTTTATAGTACACCTCGCTACAACTGGTGCAACTTAACTACTGCATGTTCACATTTACCCACATTGTCTTCAACTTGTGTAGTCTGAACAGGGGATGCGCCGCGCAATGATACACGAATGAATTATAGCGGTGAGGCTTCATTATACAGATTAACATGGTGTATTACCCACCGTCTGAACCAAAAATAAATATATATAGCGAATAAGTACAGAAACAGTTGGTTGAGGTGCGACTGGAGGGACTGTCTGTTAGTTTCTTGAAATGTAACTTACCTTGCTTCTAAAAGTGAGACTTATTGCAGTTGGCACTAAAACAAGGTAAAGGTGTCACAGCACCCTTCGTCTCTAAAGGCATAGAGCAATGCCCATTTTTATTTCCTTCTGTTCAAACCCCACCGGCTGGCTATTTATATTCGCAAGGTGCTAACCATCCATTTTTCGTAGAAGGGCACTTTAACAATGTTACAAGCTACAAGGAAGCATGTATATACAATTTTGTCTAAGCGGAAACAGTGGCTTGTACAACGGCAGGCTGAAGCCGGTCTCCCAGTCTTTCGTAGTTGTTTCTCTTTCAGACCGGAGCTCTCCACTACCACTCGTCACAAACCCTCTAAAAGAGCAGAAGTGCTCGAGGGCATCATAAGCAAGGTGTCCGATGAAATAGAGGTAATGTTTGAGATGCTGGTCGTGCTACTTAGGGACAGTGAGGCAGTGAGGAAGACGATCGCCCTAAAAGGCGAGAAGTGGCTCGAAAAGCTCTAAAAGACGATTTAGTGGAGATGGTGGTCACGAAAACGGAAAGACTCCTTACCTGGCTGTGGAACTGCCAAAGCTTCTAAAAAAATGCTTGGTGCCACAGCTTATCAAAATGTCTACTGAACGAAGAAAGCCTGCAGTGATAATCAAGCAGGAGACATTCGACCACGCGCAAATTTTCGGGTATCGCACCAACAAACAGCTCACACAAAGAACGAGGTAGTCATAGTCGTGACCACATTAGTAAAACATTAGGTCGCTATACCACACATTACCAAACAAATGACGGACATCAGCCACACCCTCACAAGGGCCATGCAGAAAGAGAAAAAGCCGAAATTTTGTCCTATATCTACACAACAGTTTGTCCCAAATGGGCCTAACATGGGATTTTGAAAAAAAGTGACGAAACCATCACCATAGCGGGCGACAAAAAAGTCGTCAATAAAGGTGACTTAAACGATCCGCTCAAAAGGGGGGGGATATAGGCACTCATTAAAGAAAGGAATCAATATAAAGACCAGCCCAACCCTTCTCACCGAGCCGGCCTCGCACACCAGAATGGGTGTAGGCCTCACAGGGACACCACGCCGGGCTCAACACACTGAAAGACTTCAGGGGGAATCACTGAGGGAACACCTTTAAATACATGGAGAACAATCGGGGGTTTTCAGCTTCATCGTAGGGGATCCTCTC